CCCCAAAACCCCAAAACCCCAAAACCCCAAATTCAGCTCACAGATAGAATCTTACAATTAAAGTTTACATCTAGACTTCATCGTCGCTGTCAGCATGGCATATCAGCTGGTTTTGAATATAGACCACTAGATCATTCTGGTCATACTGCTCGTAATTTATGAGACCTATTTTGAGATTGCTAAGGGTCTCCTTAGTCTGCTTCCTGATCACGAAATCCGTAAAATTTGCAAGATTATCAATAAGCTTATCAGTAACATAAGATATCACCTTCGATGGATTTTCTAACTCCATTTCATCAGCTAAAGAAAGATTAGATCAGGTCAGAGGTTTATTAGGACAGAAAAACTATAGGATTGTGATAAATATAACTCTGGAAGGCACATATTCTCTGATTCAGAGATCTTATCATGGAATTTGTAGTATGAATTTAGATTTAGTCTTACCTATTTTGTTGAGAATGATCTCAAGCCCATCTTTATTACTTTCACACAAGAAATAGATATATCAAAAATCGTTAATAAAAAATAAGAAGGATCTCTCTAATATCATATAATCATCAACAGTTTTCTTTGAAAATTTTAGGATTTGAGATTGGACTCCTTTTAATTTGTTCATAAGATTGAAAACTTTGCATCAAAGTTCAGAAACTTGAGAAATTTTGGTTTCGCATTCATCAATAGACAACTCCCTTAAACTATCAGCTACAACTTCAGCCTTGTTCTTGCTCATCAATACCTTTCTGTGGATTACTTTCTCATGAGCTTTGAGCATTTCTGCAGAAATCAGTATGATCCAACTTGCGCTATTTGATATTATCAATTTCCCAGAATTCTGACTCTTCTAGATCGATCTCATTCCTGGGTAAATAGTTCTTATAATTCAGCACATTCTGGATAAACAGATTTTCAATAACGTCAAGGTTCGAGAACATGAACTTCAGTGACTCCTGCGGCTCCGCTTTGACTAAACTATCATGGCAAAACTTACTTAGAATTGGAATTGGGGCAATCTTCTCTTCAACTTGGACTGAGCTCTTGAACCCATCAACTTCCTGGGTCTTGGCTAAATAACTTACATATGCTTCAAAGATGATAGCTATGTTTCTCAAATTTGAGTTGGAATTCAATCCGAATTGTGGATTTGAAGATACTCATTTAAACGTAGTATTAGTCCAGAACTTGATGATGTAGTAAATACACGAAAATGGTACCTCATCTTCACTCTGCTTAAGCAAGTCAAGGGTAAAGTCCTTAGCCAGCTCTAAGAAACCTTCAGGATCACTTCCTTCAAAGATATTAATACATTTATAAAGGGAAGATATCATTTGACAAAATTTTAGTAAGATTGGCGGCTTCTTTAATCCAAGCTTTTTGATAAAGATTTCTTTGCAAAACTCGCAGATCATTGATTTATAGGTCATTATACCATCCTTACCGCCAAAGTTAGGCCTTATGCGAGAAATAATCTGAATAAGCTTCATGGTTCCTTCTGCCTCGATGTAATAAGAGTTCTCGACAAGAATCTGATAGAACCAAAAGATATCCCTTCAGAAACTGTCAGATAATAAAGCTTTCCATTTGCTTGTTCTTGTCTCATTAATAGTCTTGGTCCTAAGAAGAACGATGACTTTGAAATCATCGCTTGCTTCTTCAGGGTACATTCATGTGAAATCATATGTAATTCATTCGATCAATGATTCTAAGGCGTACATGACATGTCTGAGGGATCTGTTGATGGGATCAAAAGAATTAGAGTTTCCCTCCTCTGATTTAACTTCCTCATCTTCTTGCTCTGAAGGCTTCAGCATACTATCAATATCTCCATCGGTGGTAATGGAGATATCGTTTGGGTTCTGCTCTTCGATCCTAGAGAGTTTTTCTTCTAGAAACTTCCTTCTTGTCTCGTCAAAGTACTGGAAAGAGGCAATGAAAATATCAGTCATGTAGATAATTCTGAAAGTTTTTGTATCAACTGAAGATACTTTTCTCTGCATTTCTAGCATCAGCTCTTTAAAGTATATCATCAATATTGAAGTGAGTTCGAACTCAGTGTCACTGTAGTAGCCTTCAGTCATGGCTTGAATAGAGTCTTCATAGACTTTGGAGTCATTCCATCCAACTCTTCACAGCCTTCCCGCTAACTTTCAGATATTTCTGAGCAAATTAAGGCGGTCATCGAGAAAGAATTGGTGGTGTGCATTTATAAAGAAGATAAGACTCTGGAAAAGCTCTGCTCTTTCTGTTGGATCTGGAATATGCCAGGACTCAGCATAATACTCGTTCAGGATCCATACCGCTACTTGTGCAACATCATATAGCTCACGTAATTGGAGGAAGAAAGTATTATTATCGAATTCCCCTGGATCTTTTTCCTTAAAATACTTGTCTCTAAAAGGATTTACCAGATCAATAATTGAATAATCATTTTCCATTTCGTTTTTCAAGCTCATAAGCAACTTCTGCGCTTTAAGCCACGTCTGAGGATCATAGCTGTCTGTATTAACGACGATTTTACACAGGTCTCAGTAAGCACCAAGCTTGAGTCCCGGAACTATCTCATGATCTGGGTCGTATGAGGTCTGGTGGCCTAACACTCTTTCACCTTCCATTTGAATATTTAAGTGAAATATTATAAACCCTAAATTTTCAGATGGGGTTTTGGGGTTTTGGGGTTTTGGGGTTTTGGGGTTTTGGGG